AGGAATAGGTAGAAACACTGTTGCTTTTTCTTATTGGATATTGAGGATTCACACTTGTTAATAGTTGCTTACAATAATTTGCTTAAGCAACATATAGTAAGATTGAGATTTAAGTGCATTTCCTGAAAAATCACTAAATCATAAAGGGTCTTTGAAATTGTTCTCCAAAAGAAATGTAAAAGCATTTATTACAGCTCTGACACGTGGCAAATTGCTGCCACTTGCTTTTAGAGAAGGCCAGCGTGGTGCAAAATGAGCAGCGTTCAGGGATAAGTGGGTGGCAGTTACTCATGAAAGGAGCAGTGGCAAAATGAAAGAGATTTCTTTTGCCACCCTCACACATAGCAAGCAACGTAGCACGCTCCCAGGAGATGTGTGTAAGCCACATGCTTTCCATGTGCAAGTGATTTCACCTCCTAATTACGATCACATTTACAGATAAAAACAGGAAGGAAGCCAGCTTGACAAGGGTATCACACCAGAAGCCAGGGTGAGCAGGAAGCCTTTGAAGGATATAAGGTGAAGGTAGTTGGGATTCGGAAGGAAGTGGCTTTGTAGACCCTGTTTGGTCTTGGTTGTTTTCTGGTCATTATTGGAGTGGTGTTTTTGACTCATTAAGGGTTTAATTCTGACACATTTATAGAGAACGAGAGACAAGACTTGTATGGATTTGGTGGCACTCCTATTGCTGGTTAGCCAAAATTTACCCTTAACTTCTTATGAAGAGTTATTATCTTCTAGAAGCCTCGCCCTACTTGATATTTGAACTAAGATTTTAAGTCATTAGCCTTTTCAAATGCAGACTAAAGCCCTTAAAGATAAGTATTCTAAATACTTTAAACAGAGAATTATGAAATGAGAATAAAGACAAAAGAAGAATAGTTTGGATTTTAGTACCTGCGCCATTACTATTAATCAGGGCCAAAACAGAGAAAAGGAAGGGGAAATTTTCAGTGATGTAACTGAAGGGCGATAGTTCTGTTCATGCTGAAACATCCGTAGAGGAATGCTTTATTTTAGGTTGTAATGTACCAATTTATTTTAACCCTATGGAAATAGATATATAGCTAAGTTTTAACCAAAAAAGAATGATTTGTTTACTTAAATTCACATTCTATTTTGAGGGTGTATTAATAGTTTAATACTATACATAAAAATAAACAAAACAAAACACAGAAAAGAATGTGCCTTCTGGTGATATTTCTTTATTTTTTACAAATCAGCAGTGTGTAATAGAAAAATTTGCCTAAACTGGTTTCCTAAACAGGTTTGCCTAAACTGTATTCGAGGCTGATGTTATCATCCTTGAGTTAAATGAATATAATTTATATTTGCTATTTCAACAGAATTACCATGGAAGATAAAAATTAAAAAAAAAAAAATCTACCTGCTTTTCAAAAACTGTGTGTGCGTGTGCGTGTACACACACACACACACACACACACACACACA